CTATAGAACTGTTATTTGACATTTTAAGAAGGGTTATCTACTATAGACGTCCCTGAATTTGGCCCCTAATTGCAATTGGATTTGTTAACTTTTTTTGTGCCAATTAGGTCATCCAACTCTCTCATTGGTTCCAATTGAGTCCTTCCGTCAATTTGCCCGTTAATTTGAGGGCCAAAACCGTCCATCTTAATTAAAATATTTTAAAAAGAAAAAAAGTGAAATAAGTGAAATAAAATAATTAAACAATATTAAAATAAATAAAAAAATAAGAATCCAAATCCCTCTCTCTCCCTCGCTCTCTCTCCCGTAACCCATTCCCCCTCCTCCTTATCCCACCCACTCAAAACCTAGATCCCAACCCAACCCCCTTAAAACCAATGAGAGAAAGCCAAAGAACGTACTCTACCCTGCCCTCCACAGTCCTGACGTCAAGACAGATTGAAGTTGTCTACTTGGGATTTTGGGTTTTGTACATTATGTGAAATAGAGTGTTGTGTTTTGTGTCTTCTTCTTGACCAGACAAGCATCTCCTTGAGGTACCCAAACTAAGGTTTTTGGCAAAGAAGTTTTTGCAGGTTGGGTTGGGATCTGGGTTTTGAAGGAGGAGGGGGAATAGGTTGCAGGAGAGAGAGGGAGAGACATAGAGGGAGACTGATGAACACAAATGAAAGCAAAAGAAAAGGTGAAAACCACAGGAAAAGGCCAAGAGATTGTGGAATTGAGAAGTTTCCTTGAAGAAGAGAATTGTTGGGTAGGGTAAGTTTCTCTCTTGCTGCTTTTTTTGTTTTTTTTGTTTTTTTTTTTGTCTTTCTGAAATTCCAGAACGTTGGAATTTTCTGCACAAAGTCTCCTCTAACAAATGGCTTTCCAAAATAAACAAATTCTTGAGGTGGGGTTGTTGGGTCGATGATGGAAGAAGAAGGTGGAGTTGGGGTCAATGCTAGATGAAGAACCCGAAAGAACGATTTTACCCCCTCATTTTGATAAACAAATTGACAGAGTTGGATGGTAGGACTTAATTGGAACTATTTGTCCAGTTAAAGGATGTAATTGGCACACAAAAAAAGTTCATTAACCCAATTGCAACTGGGGCCAAGTTCAGTGACGTCTACGTAGATAACTCTTTTAAAAAGTTATCCTGCGCGTTCTACTCTCATTGTATCCAATAAATCTTTAGATTGAATTTTTAGTCCATCATGTTTCTGAAGAGAGTCCCAAAAGACAACAAAGGCCTTACCCTCCTCAATTTATTAAGTCTTCGCGTTGTCAACACTCAACAGTCAATGAGATAAGGAAATAATGTGTATCAAGATTCAAGAACATGTTTAACGTTATAAAAACAATTAAAATAAAAGGATAAATTTAGTTGGGTTTGGGTTTGGGTTTGGGTTTGGGTTTGGGCTTGGGCTTGGCCTGGATCGGGTCCTTTTGTGCATGGACTGGGAAATGGGCTAAAAATTATTAGGCTTCCCAAACAACTTATTGGGTTATGAAAGTAACCAACCACTTGGCCTTTTTGTTCTTTAAAACTAATAATAAATCAAAGTCCAAGTCCTCAAGCCCAGACATAATGTCACGTGCTGATCACGTGACAACCTCCCTTGTTTTCTTCGGGTCAAGTATTGAACGTGACAACCTCAATGATCATATATAGAGTAATACTCCTTAAACAGAAACAAAGAAGCAGAAGAAAATGGTGTCCTTCCGCTTCCCCTTCTCGTTTCCTCAGCCCCCAAAGCACACTCCTCCCACCTACTCCTCCTCCTCCTCTGCCACGTCGCGTCCCTTCTCTGCCACCACCGCCGCCGTAGCCGTTGCCGCTGGTGCCGCAGCAGTCGCCGGAGTGGCTGCTGCCACCCACAACTCCACAAACCAAGCACACCCATTTCTCCAAAACGCACTGAATCTCTTCTTTGCCAATCGCTCTCTGCCACTTTTGGGTTCGCTCTCTCTAAACTACACTTCGAGCTCCGTCGTTGATTCCAAGACTGGAGCCTCGTTTCCTTCGGTTCTGGATGACTCTCGCCGACTTCTTGGAATTGGGTTGCGGAGAAAACGAGTGTTCGGCTTAAAGAACATCGATGTCTATGCATTTGGTATCACATTTCCTTTTTGTTGGCTTTGGAAATTTCATTGCTTTTTGTTGTTGATTTTAAGAAATTTTAATTGGTAAGCACACATTGTTAGCTCAGTGTAGAAAGTAGTAAAAAATTTGCTAGCTCGTTATTGTGCATGTGTATGTATAATGTATGTATATATAAGATTTCAGCTTGTGCTAACCATGTGCATAACAGAAGACGAGATAGCAGTAGCGTTGGATTGATTAAGTTATGCAATGGTTGGGTGTGTTTTTATAGATGAATCGAAATTTTTGAATGCTGCAATGTGGTTGAAGTGTTGTTGCTGGTGATAGATGATTAATGGTGTATTTGAAAATCAGAACATGCTAAGGATATTGAAGCTCTGTGAAAGTTAAACATGACTAAATATCGGATAACTTTTACTTGTAAAAGATTAGGCGGCAATACTTTGGGGAAGAAAGTTATGGAGATGATTGTGACAATAAGAGTGGGGTATTTTAAATCCAGTGCATATTTCATGTTGATGATAATTTAAATAAAAAAGGGAGGGAGAGGAATGAAGAATTAATTTGGTAATATATGTTGTTTTTTTTTTTTTTTTTTTTTTTTTTTTTTTTTTTTTTTTTTTTATCTTGTTTCCTTGCATTATGACATGTTACAGTGGTACTAGTGGCTCTGAGAAATAATATCATCACTAATTCAGTACATTTGATCAAAATGGTGTCATTGAAAGTATCGATGTCAGTAGTTAGGGTAAAAACCTATCCGTGATTTCTTTCACATGGTTTGATTCCTCAAATACAGACACATAATAATGCTTGCTTGCTCATTCTGGCTATTTTTCAAGGTCCTTTTGGCGCAGTCGCAGTCCTTTAAGCCTGCATTGTCCATGTGCATAGCCTTTGGGATACATTTCATTGAAATATAGTTGTGTGTATCTGCAGGTATTTATGCTGATGACAAGGACATAGAAGAATTGCTTAGCGAGAAATATGGGAAATTGTCCGTTTCGGAACTTCAGGACAACAAGGAGTATAGTGATGATTTGCTGGAAACTGATATAGGCATGACCGTTAGACTACAAATAGTTTATGGTAGATTGAGCATTAGTTCCGTGCGTAGTGCTTTTGAGGAGTCTGTCGGAAGCAGACTTAGGAAGTTTGGAGGATCAGATAATCAAGAATTGCTCCAAACGTAAATCATTTTTTCTAATCAACACTGAAATAACCTTGTGACTTGCATCTTTTTCTTTTCAGCTTGCAGTAATATATGTCTCATCTCCACTAAGATATTTTTTCCCTGTTCTCTGTTTATAAGCCTTGGTTTACAAAAAGCCACACCTTGTAGTACGATTTTGTCATCCTATTCCTAATAGCTCAATTAATTGTAGGTTCACTTCCCAATTCAAAGACGAATATAAAATACCAAAGGGATCTGTAATAAATCTCTCAAGGGAACGGGGCTATGTACTTCGAACAACAAGTAAGATTTTTCTCTTCACTCGTGTTCCGATTTCTTCAAAGTATATCACAACATACATATCCATTTTCATCCATTCATTATAATTATTTGCAGGAAGTGTTTGTTCTCAGTAGGTTACAGCCAATGAAATAAACTGAAGATATTTTTAGCAGGATTTGTTCATTTTATTTTGTAGATTCTGGGATTACTTTTAATTTGAACTTATGCTAAATTGCTGCAGTTGATGGAAAGGAGGTGGGAAGCATAGAGAGTAAACTCCTGTGTAAGTCGCTTCTGGATTTATATATAGGCGAGGAACCATTTGATGAACAAGCGAAAGAAGATGTGAAGCTCAATTTGGCCTCTCTCCTCCACAAGTAGATGGGAGAGAGAGACAATCAAATGAGTCAGATATTTTTTCTTCTTCTCCTTTTTCATGGTAATCATATTTAATCAAAGAGATCAGGAATAAAATTTGATTTTATTAAAGTAGATAATCTTTATTTCTTCTCTTAATCATAGTTTATGTGAATGGACATCTAGTTTCTTTTATGTGTAAAGTAAACCACGTATAGCTGGATTATCTTTGATTTTTTTATTTCCGATCAACCATCCCAGAAGTTCGTGCGCTCAAGGCTCAACAACTCACTTTTGAAAATTTTAATAAAGGCAATGAGAATCGGATTAAGTATTTTAATCCTTTAATTAGAGCTAGTAAATTTGGTTTCTTCTTAAAATGCAGGTCCATTCAAACATGCACACGAAATGGTATATAAAAAAGAATACGAGAAAGCCAATCAGACCCAGTAGCGTCCACCTCCAATAAACTTTTTAGTTGTGTCTTTCTTTAAGCTTCTTTGATTTCTTTTTCTGACCTCAATCTCTTCCATGGTCCCTACTCCATCCAAAAACAAAAGAGAAAATTGCAGATTCATTTGTACAGAAAAAAATTTCAGTCCATTGCTTCATAGTCAGAAAAAATATAATATCATATTTACACATCACCATGAGACTAGACCAATCAAATCTAAATTAGGCCCCATGAATATGAAGAAGCTTTTAGCATCCCCCACACCAACCCATACTTCCATCATCAAAATTGTAGGCCTAATCTTAGGACCCTCTTCAACATGCAGGTCACTTTAACAGCAGGGTACATGGTGGTGGTAGCCAACTCCACATGTGCGCTTTAATCTTAGGACCAGCCCTGCATTTTGTTAGAACACTGACTTGCATTGAACTTTATCCTCCACCAACTTGGCTTTTCACTTCATTGTACCCCTTTTCATCACCTCTCTCTACAAGCTCCCAAATTGTCAAGTCCCCTTTTGAACAAGTTTTTTTGGCTTCTAGATAGCGCGCCAGACCACCCCTTTAGGATCAGAATTTTATTAGCAACTGTGATGCTTATGGAGCTAATAGTTATCAGGTCACGGCACTGTTGTTGCAAATATTGTTCTAGTACTTGAGTTCAGAAATGTGACTGGGACATGTGCTCAAGATTGAGGGCAAGTTCCTACCACAAGCAGGAGAGGACATCTGGCCATTACCACTAGGCGAAGAATTCTCAGTTTGATGCGACTGTAATGTAGACATTGATGAAGAAGCAACCAAACTAGAGGAAGACTGGTTCTTGTTAGTGAGTATCTGTTGCCTTTGTGGTGGTAAGGATGATTTGTGGTTTCCCCCGAAAGATATTTGAGTCTGACCTTGTGAAGATCTTCCTTGTTGTTGGGGAAAACTCACGACAGTTGAGAACTGAGGAGCTTGGGCAGAACTGTTGCATTGTACTAAAGCTTGTGAGAAAGCAGGGGAGTTCTTTGGGAACTTGGCAGCAATAGCAGGTTGCTGCTGTTGTAACGTATGTGGCTTCTGAAGCTGAAACTGGAACATGTGTTGTTGTTGAGAATTTGATGATGTTTTATTATCAACAGGAGAATTTGTTGCTGTGGTAGTCAAGGCGATGGACCGAGGAGGCCAGCTTCCAGTGACAGGGGATGACATGAAGTTAAGAGTTCTTGCTGAATTGTCAAAAACAAGGGTCTGCCTTTGCCCAATACTTGAGGAAGACTTCCCAGAAGCAGCTTTTAACCCATCATCAGCATTGTTGGAACCACCTCCAGTCTTCCTTTCGGATATTTGATTATTCTTTTTCTGCACCGCTTGAGGTGCCGGTCCTACTTTGAATCCTTGCTGAGCCATGTCTGGGAGGCTTTGAAATATCACTGGATTTTGTGCCATGGTTGAAAAGTTCAAGCATGAACCTGTGCTGTTATTTCCACTGAAGGAGGCAAATGACATGCCATGCTGCGATTCCTCAATGTGATTTCCACTGCCACCCCCACCACCACCCAATGTTACATAAGGCATCAAGGTAAAGTTCAGGGGTTGAAATGGAACTGCAAAGTTCTGCCCATATACACTCTTTGGGGCATGAGAGGCAGCAAGAGATGCAGTATTCTCCCCATTCATCTCACCCTCAAGCTTGCAAGATTGAAGGGTTGGTGGCACATACTGCTTTTGTGACTGTTGTGATTGCACGCTAGTTGAGGTCAAAAAATTGTTGCTATTAAATTGTGCTTCCCTCAGTTTCTGAGACTCCTGTTGCTTGTGGGATGGTGTTGAATCACTTGAAGTGTTTGCGTTCTGATGCTGCAACTGCGAGTGAGGCTGTTGCTGTTGAACCTGTGATGGGTGGAACATCTGATTTGAATAGAAAGGCCCATTAAACAAAGGCACTGGTTGAGCAGGGTTTCCTCCTCTAAAGGCTGGTGTTGTTCCTATATGAGTTGAAATAGGAAATGGATACCCATTGAGTGCCAAGTATGGACCTTCCTTGGCTGCCATATTCGGATTAATAAAGTTCACTGCAGCTACCGTTGGCAACGCTGAAGAACTCATCGGAGTTCTAGCAGCTGAGTGGCTCGGAAGTGATGCATTGTTTGTTGATTTGGCATGTTTCAAAGGGCCAGATTGATTACTATTTGATGTCCCTGACACTTGATGTTGGCCCAGAGGGAAAGTGATAGTGTGTCCATGCTGCAATCAAAAAGAGTATAGATAAACTTTTAAAACCATACTCATAGAAACTGATTAAAATGCAGCTAGAAGACATTCCTCTCGACCAAATAGTGTAATGCAGATGATGAAGACATACCATTTCATTTCCATCAGAGGCTGGAGCTTGCTGAACTGCAAGATGCTTTCTCTTTACAGTTTCTGTGAAATTGGCAGCCTCAGAGATTTTACCGTTTCCACCATGACCTTGAAAGTTTGACATGCCCTGCTCGTGTTCCTGTGATTGCTGAAGATTCAAACCTGGTAAGCTTCCAAGCATTGGGTTTCCAATGACTCTGTTTTCTGCAGGCAATATGACTTTGAAGATGTCTGGCTTGGTGCCACGTAGAGGAGCAGAACCAGTTTCTGCTGGCCAGAAAGTGTTCGTCTTTGTAACCTTCTGATGCAAGAAAATGTTTCGAGCAATGTAATGGTGGGTTGCACATCTCTTTCGCCGTGGCTGAGACAGGAGGGAATTTGCAGGCTGCATTTTACACAACAGAAAATTCAAAACTTAAACTATTTTGATAAATATAAACAAACGAAAAAATAGAAACCTGAAGTGTGGTGGATGATCCCATGGCCAAGGGCACTGAGCTAGAATGAGCTGAAAAAATAGAGATCATCAATAAATTAAGTGTCCACCTTTAAAGCAATCAGACAGATTCATTCAGCTGGATAAACAAGACCAAATTTAGGCGTTGAATTACCAATTTTCTCCAGTTTCGGATTTGGAACGACATCTTTAGGCTGCTGTTTTTTACCTTGGTGTTGTAATTTACTGTCACTATTTTGATTTGGGTTTTCATTAAATTTTTCCTTACTTGTCTCCATCTTCTTCTCATCTACTTTCTCAACCACAGCTTCCTCAACATATTTTTCCACTTTTTCTTCATTCTTAACCAAAATTTCCATCTTCTGCATCAAAACAACATAGAGTCACAGTATGAAAGCAGAACCAAGAGCATTGTAAAGAACTGACGGATTGAGTCTGCTTACCATTTCTACATCTTGAGGCAGAGGTTTAGGATCAGATGCAAAATCAGACAAGTCCTCCTTCTCCATGGGAGGAGGAGCCTGTTCAAAAAAGGCAGGCAAAACTCTTCAGCAAATTAGAAAAAATTCTACCAATGTAAATATAAGCAGAAGACCAGAACAAACAAGAAGCCTCACCATCAAATCAAATTTGAACATGTCCTCTCTCTTGCTCCCAAGCTTCGACCCAGTTGAAATGCTGACCAATTTCAACCATCAAAACAAACAAAATTAATCAGATATCGTTTTTGTTTTGGGCTGCATCATTAATTGGATATTTCTCAGTGACAATCAATCAAAATAAAAAAGAGACAAAGAAAAGATTCTTTGATGCTCACGCTTTTGTCCCTGTCAAATCCTCCCAAGACAATTCAACTTTTGGGAGGATGCTTTTTCCCTCTTCCATGAATGGTTTGGCATCTTCCTTCTGCGACTCTATGGACCCAGATGCTCCTTCATCACGACCCGTATGGTGAACCGGGTTGCACAGTTCCCCGTTTGATTTCGGCGAACAAGTTTCAATCTTTTCCGGTTGGTCACTTTTTTCAAAGACACCAGCTTCAGAAACTGAACTGTCCTGAACCGCCATTAAACCACTCTCAGCCTCCACTTTCTTGTCCTTGAGCTCTGCAACTGCGAACCAGAGCAAATGGAAAAATCATTAGAATCATCGCTGAAACGAGAAAGTGAAGACAGGGATGTAACCCAAGTCTTGAAATCGTCGCTAGTACCGTTTCTATCTTTAGCTTCGATATTCAAAGTATAGTTTTTGATATTATCCTGGTCCTTGGAGCTCTTGGATTGCTTCATCAGCCCGAGAACCTCAGCGATCTTAATCTCAATATCCTCTTCGACAGGCTCAGAAGATTTAGTCGACTTCGGAGGCCGAATCTTGGGTCCATTTGGCTTCTGCACAAAATCAATTTACAAGCTCAAAATCTCAAACTTTTCCCTTAACTTCATCAAAACTATAAACTTTATGAAAAATAATAAAACAGAGAACTAACCATCTTCTTCCTCGCTGAAACATTAGAAAAAGATAGCGAGGCGGCTTTTACGCTCAGTTGCTGAAGACTCTCTTCTTCCCCAGCTCCTCCATAATTCCCAGAAGAAGCATATTCATGTGACCTTTTTCCAGAAGCTGCAAAAAGACATCAAATTTACAAACAAACTAGAAAACAGAGCAAGGCCCAAAAGAACAGCACCAAACAGAGAAGAACAGAGAGGAAGCTAATCAGCTACATTTGGGTATTGGTGTACCTGAGCGAGCCTTCCTGGGCACCGCAACTCCGATCATTTCATGGGCAACCATCAACTGCGGAGCTTGCTCATCGGAATAGCCGACGCTCCCTTCTTCAGTGCTCTCGTGACCTTGATCTCCTCTGACCCTCCTCTGTTTTGTGCTCTGTTCTCTCATACTTCTCTTGTTGCTGGGTCGCTCGCGTAACTTGAGAAATCCATTGCTTGCTGCCATGCTTGGCCTTCTTGCTTCTCTACTTCTCTCCATGATGATATATTCTCTCCCCCTTCTCCTTTCTCATCAAATCATCAAACTCAAAAAGATGGGAGACAGAGACTCACTTTTCTCTCTGTTTTGCTTGGCTGTATTTGTAAATGGATACAGAGAGATACAAATATGCCCCATGCATTGAGAATTGTATATATCATTGTATTTGATATTTCTCCAATGCTGCCAGAGAGATAACCTGGATTCGATATCAATGGCCCGTCTTTTGCAATTATTAAGTCGTTGTTATTATTTTTCTGTATTTTTTTATATAAATATTTTATTATTTAAGACAAGAATAGGAGGAGGTGGTGATGGATGGACGAATTATTTTATTGAGGAAAGATGCAGATCAAAGCAAACATTAGTTTCAAAGATAAAATAAAGAAAAAATATATAATAAAGTACAATCAGTATCATCATTTGTATACATTCTATAATGGCTGCACACGTTACTTCTTTCTTTAATTTAAATTAAGCTAGTCTTCTTTCTTTAATTAAATAATTAATGAAGAGTACTCAAATTAAAAGCATGCCTCTTTGGCTCTTAAATCCTCTGTATTTTCATTTGAGTATGCAACTCTGGGAAACTAAGCCAAAGGAATCCCATCCACTTGCCCAACGCCAGAAAAAGTCATATTTTATTCCCTTCGATTTTCTTTAATGAAAAAGAATGAAAGAAACAGCCTTTGTTTATTCAATAAGATATAGTATTTCTAGGGATATCAACTAATATAAAACAGTTTTTTAGTTGTTCTTATAATGTGTTTTTTCTTCCTTAATGCCAAAGTAGGTCGAGTAAGAGCGTAGACTAATCTGACTGCTAATGCATGTGAGTCTTACAATATATCAATAGTTGTAATCATTCATGCGTATGCAACTGACTAGAGGTTAGAAACTGTCACTTCATTAGTAACTCTAGTAGTATTGTTGTTTCATAATTGGTTCACAAGATTAAAAGGTTAAACCTACCTAAAAGTGATTTGTTGAACAGGGAGATGGCTTTCTTTTAAATATAATTGAGATTATTGTACTTTTTTGTTTTTGAGACTATTGTAATTTGACTTCAGCTTACCCTCAATTGCTTTTAAGCATAAACTAATAATATGCTTGTACAACTAAACCAATATTAAAACTGATTTAGTGGGGAAAGAACAATTGTATTTAGTAGGTCAAGACAAGATGATCCCTCCCAGTGGCACTTTATTAACTAAATGCAATATAAAAATAACAATTAATTAAATAATCAGATCCAAAGTGCGAGTTGTTTGGATCGACAAAAATAATATATTTTTTTATTTTGTGGATGGAATTGTTATTTGTTATGATCAAATAAAAAATTGTTATTTGTTAATGTGGCAAGCATTTTGATGTTCCACATACTACAAAGGACTTTCGGGAAGGTAATGAGTTAATAATAAGCACCTCACAGCTTCCAATCAAAAAATAATAAATAAATAAGCATCTCATCTCATCTCATCTCACAGCTGGTCGTGGAGGTCACCATGGTCAAAGAAAATAATATTTTAGAATTTAATAACCAAAAAATGGAGTTTTTAATTGAGTGAAGAATTCATGGTTGGGTTGGGTTGGGGGTTAGAACTTAGAGGAGGAGGAGGAGACTGAATATAAATATTTAATTAATTTTTTTGAGATGAGATCGAGAACTCGGGACAAATATTCAAAGTTCAAACTCAAATGTTAGGTTTCTGACTTTTGAAAATTGTATACAAATGTTGGGTTTCATCTTTCAAAACAAGCATGCAATTGCAACCCTTTTTAATTTCTTAATCCCATGGAGGAATAATCTATTGCTCCAGCACTTTATATATATATATTTTTTTTATACATACAAAAACTTCACCTGGGTGTTCTTTTTTAATGATTATATGAAGTGTTGCAAGACATCAAGGGTGCTTGAAAATGTTCCCAATATGATTTTCCTCTTCATGTTTTCTTGATAAATGTTCTTCCCTTTTCCTGGTTGTGAAAACAGAGCATACAGAAATGATTGTGTTTTTTTTTTAAAACCCTCTGGGTTAGTCGGTTGATAACCAAAATTATTGAAAGCAAAGAAAAGTATGTTATCTTCTCTTGCATGGGTAAGATCAGCTTTTTCATAAATTGAACTCAAAAGGGTGCAATGCATTGCCAAGGAAAAAGGTGGTGTACAATTATTCCTCATTAAATTTTCATCCTTTGTTGGTTGGAAGTTTCTAAGAAATTGCATGTAGAAATCGAATTTAGAAAAGCACAATGACATGGGACCTATAGCCCTTTTTTGTTTTTCGTTTTATCTTCTCTATATATATTGGAGGGTAGGGTTAGTGGGCTTCTAGGGTAGTGTGTTTTCAAATCGAAAGATGGGACAAATGACATGTTATGACTTGGATAAGGAAAAGTACTTACCCCCACCTCGTTGCATTCATCATTCTTTCTATCTCTTTCCTTCTTTGATAAGTGACATGAAGAGAGAGATAGAAAGCGAACATCGCAACGGAGTATGGAAGTTTTTCTCATAGATTAGAGCCCAGTTCAAAGAACATAAAATAGTGGAACTGAAAATAGAAATTTTGACTTTTAACATCTTTAATACAATGATCATTGCCAGCCACAGAGAAGTTGAGATATTAATGTGGTGCACGCTTCTAATTTAAAAGCCTTGCATAACATGGCATATTTTTCACGTAACCGTAAAAACAAAATGTCTGGTTATCTCAAAAGGTGCTTTGTAAGGGTGGGGTATTAACAGCACTACAAGTTATCCGCACAAAAAACAGAAGGTATGTTGGAGATAGAAGCTCAACCATTTACAGCAGTGCATGAACAATCACTACACCTTCAGCAATTCCTGAAACACGATTGCAAATTATGTTAAACTTCAATAACGACTTAGGTCAATATGAGAATCAAATGGAGAAACCACCTTTTCCTTTTGTTTGAAGACGGTATCAAGCTTCTTCACATACTCATCTGTCAATTTCTGCATAAAGAAAAAAGGTGAGCGTCGTATTTTACAGGAACTCACTGTTTTAAATGATAAGCTTAGAAAATGTATCTTCTACTGTAACCTTTGAAATCAAAACCCAACCACTCATGAAACAAGAAATTGGTGCGTGATATGTCCACAAAAGATGGCTAAGAAACAAATCCGTCACTCGGCTTCTTTATGCAAACCACAATACCTAGTTTAGTTGGCTTCATGATACTGTGGTGCATTGAATGTGGTCCAGCAGCATACTAGATAATCAACTAAACAAAATATTTAAATTACCTGCAAATCACTAGATAAGTCCTTGACATTATCTTCGGAGAGCTTTTTGTCCTTTTAGAAAAACAAAAAAGTTTATGTCAATAAGGAATCTAAAAGTAAAATGGTACTGGAAAAATAAAAGAAACAAAGGAGGGCCCCAAAGGCAATGCCAGGAAGTGAGAAAGAAAGAGAGGTTGCGGGAGTGGGTTTTAAGATTCAAACCTTCTGAAGTTTGTCGAGAGCTTTTAAAGCATCTCTTCTGATGTTCCTCAATGCCACCTATAACAATTGAGTAATAGGTCTTTCAGAAGAACAAGATCAATCACTTTAAAGTATAAATGTTAATACAGGAAGTTTTAAAATGCATTAATTGCTCCGTGCTTTTACTTCAATATGGTGCCATGATTAGAGCTCACCATGAACAACTGAACTGAAGGACGGGAAAGGGAGCTGGGGTTGGGGGTCAATTATTTAGTATATCAATTTGTGGGATTTGGTTGAGCATGTGTACAACACAGCCAAAACCATGAAACTCTGAAAATATTAATTACTTATAATCACAAACTAAAGAAGGAGAGTTTTCTCCAACTATCAACCAAAGATACTACTGTACCTTTCCTTCTTCGGTCTGTTTTGCCACTACTTTTGACAATTCCTGCATGGAAAAAAAAAGGAGCACATATTAAAGAACGTGACTGATTATTGTGCATCATCAGAAAACAGAATGTTTCTGTTCTTTTTTCCTATAATGATTTTGTCACCACTGCCAGTACAACGAATCATGGCTTCTATCATGTTGAATATTTTTAGGAATTCCATATAATTTGTACCAAGATTACAGCTAATTCTCAATGTATGAGAAAATTAAAGGAATATGCTATTCATAAAACAATTACAAAAGCAAGCTATTAAGCCAAATACTAGAAGTCTCAACCTTTAAAAACTGATATAGTAAAGTAGAACTTGCATAGTCAATTAAAAAATATAAGGGTCAAATCATGGAGATATACCAAAGCTCTTAATAATCTCGTCATCTTCAACTATCACATTCCACCACACCCAAAAATGTGCGTGAATGTGTGTGTGTGTGTGTGTGTGTGTGTGTGTGTGTGTGCGTGCGCGCGTGAGAGAGAGAGAGAGAGAGAGAGAGAGAGAGAGAGAGAGAGAAGTGTCATGAGGTATGATCTCTGGAGTGTAAACCATACAATTTACTGCATCTCAGCATATGTAGATTGGCCAAAGCAACAGGAAGAGCTGAAAATCCCTTAGCTCATTTATATAATAAATCAAAGATTAAAGATGAGAAATACCTTCCTTCTTTCTGCTGTAAGTTGAGGTAGGGTCAACCGAATCACTTCTCCATCATTATTTGGAGTTAAACCAAGATCAGAGCTAACTATGGCCTTCTCTATAGCCTTTAAGCTGAAAAAGAGGATATACCAATTAAAAGAAAGGGGAAAAAAAAAAGGTTAACTAATCAAATGATCAATTGATCCCAAATGCATTCCTCCAATAGAAATAACTAGCTCTTAACAGTTCAAAAAATCCATGTTTCTTTTTGGTATCAGAGAGAAGGCAGTAAAGAATCACTGGAAAAATCACCAGATTCTATAATTTTACCATGTACTTCGTCTACTTATTGTGCATAGATACAGAGAAAATCTTAAACGAGCTCCTATCAGAGAAAGCGGTAGCCCGCTAGCTAGTTTTCAGCTGGGTTTTATGTCAGTCAATAATGTGTCTCTCCTCCTCTGATTTTGGAAAAAATTTAGTAGTGACCATTCCAAAGCAGACAAGTGTCTATTGCATGACTGGGAATGCAGCATAGCGCACTGGTCTTCAATGAATCTTACTAGTATCGTGTCTTTAGTTTATGAAATACCTGGATTTATCATATGGCTGAACCAAGAAGGAACTTGCATCAGGAGAACTAATTTGAGCAATGGTCTTCAAGCCAACCGGGCTTCCATAGTATTCAACCTAGAAAAGTATTGTATTATAACTATTCTTAGAGCAAAAATAACAGTACCAAGTCTTCAATCCATACAAAAATGAATTACAAAAGTAGCTAGACAAACCCTAAATTAAGTCATACCTCAATCTTGTCCAGCATGGCTGGGCTTGCCCTCCCTGTCCTAATAGAATTGAAATTGGACCGTACCAGTTCGATAGTCTTTTCCATCCTTCCTTTCTGAAATATAACTAACATTCTCAATACAAGTTGTTTCTTCCTGACTCCATGAAAAATCCAAAGAGGCTAAAATCCACCCAACCCAATCCCACACTACGTATTTTAATAAAAGAAGCCATAGACAAACTTACAGCATCCTTTTTTATCAAAGACTTCTCTGCTTCTATTTCTTCAATAGTGGCAGCCCTTACAGTTCCAGCTCTGGATATTTCAACCGAAAGGAAATAAGAAAGAGAAGAAAAAAAAATTTGATTGGAAGGCAAATATATACCTACTACACAACCACTAACTCAAAGCAATTACATTAACCATAGTGTGGTAGCACCACACAGCCCAAATCTCCATTGCATTCACAAATTGCAAGGATAACATCAATGACTATGGAGAGTCAGAGAATAGATTCATTTTAAGTGTATTGTTGTTAAATGTTAAGCCAACAATTGCATTCATATCCCAACTTTTAGTCCCATGCTGACAACAGAAACCAGAGTATAATTCTGTGGCACAAATAAAACTTGCCTCTTTTGCAAAAATTGCTTCTTGACAACAATGGGATTACCAGAAAACTTCATGGAGCCATCCTGAGATCCTACATAACTAACAGCTGAGCTCCATGAGCATACATTAACCGTTATGGGCTGGCATTTCTTACAAACCGGTCCTCCGCCAAAGGAGTCTGCAAAAATGTCAACTTTTAGAGCATTTAGCATGCGAAACAAAAATGCCCATCAAACATAAACGAAGTTACAAACTCAGCCCACTAACACTAAGCTATGCAGTTTTCCTACTGAACTCCAAAAGGGCCCTTTTGAAATTGAATCATTGGCTTTTATATTTGGAAAGCAAGTCAGAAAGCTCATCAATTACCACTAATTAGAATGCAATGAATCCATAAAATGGTTGATGGGTTATGTACCTCGAACGGAGAGCAGGGTTTTGGGAGGGTTTTGCGTGGGTTGGAGGAAGAAGCGTACAGGGGTTGCAGGAGAGAAGTGGGTCGCCATGAAAGCCGAAGACTGGTATTCTGAGCGAAACTGTTGGGGGCTGCGATATTTTTATGTAAGAAATATAATAACCCACTAAAGTAGTGACTGTGGTAGAGGGCAGAGTAGGCAGGCAATGGGTCTTCAGCCTGTCAACTGGATGACAATGAACACTGAGGGGGGAGAATGTTCGCTATTTTCAGGGGCTGTGGATAAGCATTTTCCTTTGCTTATTTTATTTTGGGACTCGTTTGTTTTCTTGGATTAGAATGTCATAATCAAACACTGGATAGAGATATCCTCCACTGGTTCCAGAGTAACTAGAGGAAGTGCGTTTGCACATCGAGGCCCACAATAATTTGACTGGTTAAAGAGGGCGGACTTTGGACATTAGAGGGTTTGAAGATGGGCCAGAGTTCTATGTGAAGGTAGATTGGGCTGGGCTGGGGTAGGCTTGTTATTTCTGCAGCCTCAAAATGGGCTTTAAAATTGTCAGAAATTTCTAAATGAACTCGTTTTCGACCCATTTATGTTTTTCTTATTAAGTTGAGATTCGAACTTGGTACTTTTGGTTTTTTGATGGTAGATGCTTCTATAAAATAGAAGCACCCTAAAAGAGAACAAAAGATAACTAAACCATATGAAACAAGAGCGTAATCTTTAATAAATATTTGCGGCCTAAATCAAACATAGGAAAACAAAAGAAAAAAGAGGAAGGACTTAAAAGCGAAACATTCAAAATCCTACAAATTGTCCATGATTAAATAAGGTGATAAAATACAACAAAGTAATATAATTAGAGAAAAATGAAAAAACAATTATATTTATAAAAAATTAAAATACAAAACCCACCTTCAGAATGCGGCAGTTACCCCACTCCTCCCACACCTCCACCTCTCCTCCACCCTTTCTTTTTTTTTTTTTTTTTTTTTTTTTTTTTTATTTATTTTAATTAATGCTAATAAATAATACACATAACAATTAAACATATATATTAAACTTCTTTTAAACTTGGCAAATAGTAAATGATACGAACATAGAAAGAATCACAAAGGCCGCTTATGTCAAGCCACATTTATTGCCTTTTTTTAATACAAATTCTTCTTAAATTCAAGATACTGTGGATTTGGTGAAGAAGAAGAATGCTATAAAAAAATCTCAGAATGAAGATACTCTGGATTTAATGGACGCGCCAGATCAACCCATCAAAAGATTGCCTTCGTAATTAAAATAATAATAATTACCATCTTTGGATTTAATTTCCTGAATTTGCACCTCGCGCTAGCAGTATATATATACACGTTCACTTGCAACGTTTTCTTCACGAGTGCCTTCAAGTTCAACAACCATACATATCTACTATTTTATTCATCTCTCTTCTAAAAAAAGCTCTGTGACTTTCTTAGGTTGGTGCAGCCATGGCTTTTGCTAAGAATTCAGTGCTTGTTTTCATGGTTATGGCTTTGTTTGGGGTCTGTTTTGGGACTGTCTACAAGGTGGGTGACTCTAACGGCTGGACAGACAAAGGCAGTGTTAGTTACAAGGATTGGGCATCTACTAAGACCTTTGTTGTTGGGAGACTCTATCGTTTTTAAGTGTTTTTTTTTTTAGCATGCTTTACAATTGACACCTTTTAATAAAAAGTAGGGTTCTTTATACCTTCTTACATATATTGTGTGGATTCAAGCGTGCTTTCTTTGTTTTATTGAAAAGATATCGTGAATTCAAATTGTATAGACACTAGTTGATGAATTTAACTGTGTGAAATAGACCCAAAAAACCCTTTTTATATATAGATAGATGCGTAAGATTTGTGGACAATGATGTGAAACCAAGTATTATTACCACTTATGGTACCTCTTGCATGTTCCTAATGTGAAAGTTTGGTACTATGATGATGTTTCTGCATACTAGCTAGTTGCTTTAACCCAATCAATATCAAGCAAACTACCATTTGTATGTTCCTTTCTGTTTTAACATGTAATATTGCACTTGCAGTTTTTGAGTACAATGCCAAGGACCAAAATGTGGTGCAAGTGAAAACCCTTACAGAATTCAACGGCTGCAACTCAAAAGCTCCATTATCAGCATATAACTCTGGCAACGACGCTGTAGCGTTGAAGAAGGCTGGCCATTTCTTTTACATCTGTGGTCTTCCTGGCCACTGCGAGGCTGGCCAGAAAGTTGACATTAGGGTTCTTGAACCTAGCCAGGCACCTAGCCCAAGCCACTCGAGCCCTAGCCCTAGCCCTGCACCCAACTCAAACCATTCTCAACACAATGAATCGTCCGCCCCGGTTCCATCTCCAAGTGCAAAGGCTCCTACCTCACCTAACAAGAGCAGTGCTCCATCTGTCAAGTCTTCTAGTGGCTTGTTTATGCTTGTTGTGATGGGGGTTCTTGCTTACCTTGCTTAATTAATTGGTGTTTAATTAGGAAGATTGCTTATTTTATTAGTTTGTTTTTGTGTTTATGTCAGGAACCTCCTGTTTTCTTTGCTGTACAATCTTTTATAAGTGCAGCTTTTGAAATGAATAGCTAAAATTACTCATAAAACAATCAATTTTGTGCCTTCAATTTCCATGATAATCACTTGATAAAAGTCATTCCCATTGTCTTCAAAGAGATCTTCTTCTTTTTCCCTTCGAAAAAAAAACAAACAAACAAAGGTGGACCAAAAAGACATCCCAGGTTGAGTTGAGAACTCAACCTCGCCAATGTGATTGTTACCAAGCATGATTTTGTATCATTCTAAATATTTTTAAGAATTCAGTATAATTTGAACAAAGAATGCAGAAAATTCTCAATGTATTAGCAAATCAATTTATGATATCTTCGAGGTATAAAACAAAGTTGCCTATACAAAAATAACATTGCAGAATTTACTCATCTCAACAGCATCCGTATTTGTTCTGGCTAATATAGTTTTTTCACGTTCACTTATCAAGAATAGGTAGAGAAGGAACTGGATTAATTTGGATAAACTAATCCCCTAATTAATCTAATTCATGTGAATTTTGAAGTAGTTGGATATGAAAGCCACATAATTTGTTATTTGGTTCGTGTTAGTAAACGTATGGAAAACTAGCAAACGGATTTTATTTTATGTTTTTTGTGAATTGAGGGGAAACTCCAAACAACACAACTACATAAAATTACAAACAAGACGGGGACGAGACACCCCAATCAAGTCATCAATAACTAATGAATCTTTCCAACTTGGGGCAAAATCAAAATAACAAACGCCAAGACCCATGTTAGAGCTCCAGTTAGCACCCATCTATTCCACTTAGTTAATCCGTCTGAAATGGAATAATTTGAATATCCATGTGTTAGTAAATGCAAAGAAAATTATGAATGAGAATAATTTTAATAGCCATTCCAAATCAAAATTGGCACAAAGGGAATAAATTTTAGAGAAAACAATTACTCAATTAATAACTCCGCGTAAAGGAAAAAGGAAAAAGGAACAAAAAAATAGTAGAAACTTTTTTGGCATACCATATACCATAGATCAAGGCAAGTTTACTGTCCACTGAATACGGCTCTTTTTGCCAATTTGAAAAAATAACCCTAGTAATTTTAATTGCAGCCTAGACTCACCCAAATTGGGCAAAACGAGTGAACTTTTATTGCACTGTGAGCTGTGAATATGATTATCCTCAAAATTAACCAAGATGGTCTTAATTAATTTCCTAAATCTGTGAAAAATATCACCAACGAAATGAATTGATCCTGACGTGCCAATCAACAAAATAAATTAACCAAAGAATGTTCCTCTAATTACCAATTAACTATTACCATCTTCGAGGAAAGAACGTTTTATAATTTAATTTCCTCAATTTGCACCTTGGCATATCACTCTATATAAATATACGCACCATCTTTTGGTTTTTCCTCATCACAATTGCATTCAACAAACTAATACAATATATCTAAGCTAATTCTCTGTCTCTCTGATCTTGGTGGTTTCGCCATGGCGGCTTTGGCTAAGAGTTCAATGGTTTTCTTCTTCATGGCAATGGCTTTGGTTGGGGTCTGTTTTGGTGCTGTTTACAAGGTCGGTGACTCTCATGGCTGGACCGACCAAGGCCACTTTAATTACAAGACTTGGTCATCTAACAAGCACTTCACTGTTGGAGACACTCTCGGTAAGTCTACGGATATATCATTTGGTGAATAAATTTTGCGAAATAAATTGATGTCTCTAAGGTTTTTTTTTCTCGCTTTTAACACGCATTGCAAATTGCATGTGCAGTTTTTGAGTATGATGCCAAGAAGGAGAATTTGGTACAAGTGGACCATAAGGGTTACAAAGAATGCATGGCAAAAGATCCATTATTTACCTTTGCCTCTGGCAACGACAATGTAAAGATAACCATGCCTGGCGACTTCTTCTACATTTCTAGTCTCCATGATCACTGCAAGGCCGGCCAGAAGCTTCACATCCAAGTTCACGCATCAAGTTCGACCCCGTCCCCGTCTCAGACTCCATCTTTCTCGAGCCCATCTCCGAGCCCGGTCCACTTGAGCCCGTCTCCTACCCCGGTCGCCTCAACCCCGGTAATTTCAACCCCAAGTGCTTCACCAAGCCTGAGCCCAAGTGGTTATCCAATGCCCAGCCCAATTGGTTCACCAAGCTACAACCCCAATAGATCTCCAAGTGCTATTACTAGGCCACCTCCAAACCCTAGCCCAAACGTGAGGCCCAATCCTCCAACTGTGAGGCCCAATCCCCCAACAGTGAGGCCCAATCCTCCCCCTTCGGTACCAATAGTGGTGTCCAATCCTCCTCCTTCCGTACCAACAGTGGTGTCCAATCCTCCTCCTTCCCCAGGGGGTACCCCACCTAGACGTCGTAAAGCCGTGATTACAAAGAGCCAGGCTTCACCTTCCAATGGGTTACCTATTTTGCAGGTTTTAATGGCTGTGGCGGTCGTTGTCTACATTGCTTAAATTGAAGTTTATGAAGATGCTTTATTTCCATAGGGAGCCGAATTTAATTTTATTAAAATAATTAGCTGTTTTTGGGTTTTTTTTTTGTTAATATCAGGAACCATATGATTTCTTGGGTGTTTAGTAATAAATCATTTGTGTAATGTTTCACATATTAATAAATATTTCTGCACTTAATCCTAATAATAGTAAGTTTAAGTTCGTTTATCCTTTGATTTTATATATTTTTATTTATTTATTGGGTTTTCACATTTGACACGCAATGTAAAGGAGCCCATAAAAGTGGTCCTTTCCGAAAGCATATTTCTCTTCTTTTTTTTAGTATGATAGTCTAAACTAAAACTTTTATCTTCTTATGCAATGCATATAGTATTTTTTTATGTCCCCAATCAATAACACAATAACACGTGAGAGGAGAGAGGTTTTCACACACACAACTATGACGTTGTGGAATTTGAATCGGATAAATGAACTTAGCAAGCAAGCCTTCAAAACATCATCACGTTATGATAAGGACTATCCCCTAAAACTTAACTGAGAAGTGAGTTTTAGGAATAATTAGTTGTTTTTGTGTTTTTGTTAATATCAGGAACCATATGATTACTTGGGTGTTTAGTACTTAATAAATCATTTGTGTGAGTTCAAGTTTTGTTTTGGGTTTTTACGTTTCACACGCAATGTAAAGGAGCCTATAAAAGTGGTCCTTTCCGAAAGCATATTTCTCTTTTTTTTTTAATAGTATGATAGTCTAAATTAGAAGATAAACTTTTATATTATAATCTTATACAACGGAGATATCATTTTTTACTACTTTCGACCAATAACACAATAACACATAGAAGGAGGGGAAGATTTCACACACACACACACACCTAACTATGATGTCATGGAGATTTGAACCAGATAAACAAACTTAGCAAGCAAACCTTCAAAACATCATCACATTATGATAAGGACTATACTAAAACTTAACTGAGAAGTGAGTTTTAGAATTTTCATGCCCGCAAAACAATGATTAGTTCTTCATTGTTGAACCGTGGTCCATGACGCATTTTTAAAGTTGAAATCATTCCACTCGTGATGAAAGATGTGGAGTTTTGGGGCTTTTGGCAGCTGAATTAGAAAACTTACACATGTTCAAGCCAAAAAACAAAAAGATAAATTCTCAAACTTATTATAGTCTAAACTATTTTAATTAAATTACTCAAACTTATTATAAGGGATTTGATCGAACTTGAATGCAAAGAAACGCGCATATTACCTTAGTTAACTAATCTAACCACGTTTGTAGAAAACAGTCTTTCTTCGAGTGATGTACACGAGGGAAAATCACTTTGATATGCTGGTCCTGTCTTATAAATGAAAGCATAAGTAGAGATGGGCCTTCAATAGTAAGATATGGTGTTTTCGTATGTGTAGGTGTGATCCTGTCATGGATGCTCTGTGAGATGAGAGACAGACTCTGTATTTGGCAGGGATTGTCAAATGCGTAATTGGGGTTTAATTATGTTAATTAAGATATTGAGCAAGGTGTGATGTCTTAAAACAGATCATGAGATTTGTAGAAACTTTCTGTCGCATCTCATCAGTTAAGATTCAACCAACTAATATAAAGTGTACTGTGTATATAATAAACCTGCAATACAGATTTAATCAAGTGGGCAGCATCCAAAGTTTCTATCAAACATAATTAGCTTCTATTTAACCAAGTCTGCTTGTTGATGCTGGGGAATTAATATTTATCTTCCTTGACATTGAATCATTGATCTATAATATGACTCTATCATATGTAGAAGTTGTAAACCATTTCCTCTCCCCAAGCCTCTAATTATTGCGTGGTAATTGGCACCTACCTAAGCTCCTAACCTAGCTACTACCATTTGTCACTGCGACGATGGCTATGGTGTGTAGATGTGGAGGGCCTCTTCTCTGACTTCACTTCAGCACCTAGTACCTGCCCTAGCCTATATAGTTAGCCTTGTGGCTAGCCTACCCATCAAGCACTTTTTGTTTCACAAGTAATATTCGAGTCATGCCGGTGATTGTGGACCTAGAGTCACCTACTAATGTATCGAGATATAAAGGATAGAGAGATGGAACGAAAACTCTATAAGTAATAATGTCAGAATCCACCAACAAACTGGAGTCCACCAGAGAAATTGAGTAAACCTCAAATGTATTAATTGAAAATCAAATGAATAAACTGACAAATACAATGCCATAAGTTGGCTTAAATAGACAATAAAAAAAACCCTAAAACTGTAGGAAACATTAGGTTCTAGAATATTCATAAACTTAGCTAACAAGAAAATAATAAAAATCATAGCTAAAATCATATTAGGAAAATAATATTCTAATAGATAACTTATTCTTCAAAATATAAAATTAAACATTAAATTAAATACAACTCTTGATAGAATCATAATTGCTTCAAACTTCCTCAATCAATTAGAAAATCCCAACGACACGCATTCCTTCTTTTCCTAGCGTCATAATTGACATTTAATTGAAATTTTCCTCTCTTGCACGATTTCCTTCCAACTTTGAGCCACTTTATTTTAATTAATTTTTCACACCATAATTGACCTATATTTATTCCTACATCACCTAAATGCGTATAGACGACTGATTTGCTCACCACTGATGTATATCAATATCTTTATTACCCTACCCCAATGGATGTTTGTCATCTATGATCTAACTAATAAAGTTCAACTTAGTTAATGCACATCAAGTTGACCCTCCTTCCTTCACTATGCTTAAGAGTAATGACAACATCCCATGATTTGTTTATTGTTTGGATCAGTTAATTAAGGGCCTTGTAACATAGATTTTATGCCATTTGCTGGCAGCACCAGTGGGGTTACTTCCATGGTGTTTCACCTTTATTTCCACTCTCCTTCCTCAACTGGTATCTAATTTGTAATAGAATCTAAACCATAATAGATTAATACAAAAAATAAAAACGCATAAATCCTTTGAAAAAAAAAATTGAGAAAAAAAGTGAGAGTAAATACCTATGGTTGACGAGCGGCAGCCGAGCCGGCTAACAAGCCGAGGTTTGCGCTTCCCGTTACCCGAAATTAACACGCGCAATTGCACGTGCAAGGACACACCACACACGATTTTGTAAAAGCTAAAATTTAAAAATAATATTTTGACCCAAAAAAATAAAGATAATAAAAATAAAAACAGCAAAAAGCGACAAGAGCAAGGGCTCGCGTATATATAAACCAAGGTCCTTCCCAAATACGCCGTCCCACTCTCCCTCCCAGTCCCCCCCACTCCCACTGATTTGTTATAACTCTCAACTACTCAAAACCACTTTGTTTTCGTGAGAGAGAAACAGAAACAGAGCGAGCGCATTCTTTCGCCATTAATACCTCTCAGCAACAAAGCGTGAAACCTCTCATTCGCTTTTCTACGTTGCTCTTTTGTTTGCAAACATTCAAACAATCAGAACCTCTCTCTCTCTCTCTCTCTCTCTCTCTCTCTCTCTCTACAAGACTGTAACTATATATTTTTTATATTGGCACAGTCGCTAACAGAGAGATGGAGCTAAGTAAGGTCACCTTAGAGATCTTCACGAAGCTTGAGCAGAAATGGCTCTCTCACTGCGAAACCACAAAGAAGACTCGGATTCTCAGCATTGATGGCGGAGGAACCACCGGCATTGTCTCTGGAGCAGCCTTGATCCACCTCGAGGATCAGATCCGCCTCAAGACCGGCGACTCTCACGCTCAAATCACCGATTTCTTCGACCTCATTGCCGGAACGGGTATCGGAGCCGTCCTCGCCGCCATGCTTGTCTCCGACGACGGCTCCGGCCGTCCTCTCTATACCGCTAGAGAAGCTGTGAACTCCATCGCCGGGAAAAACTCCGACTTGTTCAAGGTCAGGCTCGCTGGAGTTTTCCGCCGTCGCCGGAGATACTCAGGCAGCAGCATGGACAAGGCGTTGACCGAGTTGTTGACTAGGGAGGACGGCAAGGTCTTGACGCTCAAGGACACGTGTAAGCCTCTCCTGATTCCCTGCTACGACATGAAGAGCTCGGCCCCGTTCGTCTTCTCCCGAGCCGACGCCTCCGAGTCGCCGAGTTTCAACTTCGAGTTGTGGAAAGTCTGCCGCGCCACGTCAGCAACGCCAAGCGTCTTCAAGCCGTTCAGCCTGAGCTCTGAAGACGGAAAGACGTCGTGCTCGGCCGTGGACGGCGGTCTGGTGATGAACAATCCGACGGCGGCGGCTGTGACGCACGTGCTAAACAACAAGCGCGACTTCCCCTCCGTCAACGGTGTCGAGGACTTGCTGGTTTTGTCGTTAGGCAACGGCCCCTTAACCGGAGGTAAACCCCAAAGTAACGGCCAGTCGTCGGTCGTTGACATTGTGCTTGACGGAGTTTCCGAGACCATTGACCAAATGGTGGGGAACGCCTTCTGCTGGAACCGTACGGATTACGTGAGAATTCAGGTATATAAATTTATATACCGATTATTTTTCTTTTGTTTGATTGCAATTTGCAGAGAGAAAAAAAGTAAATATGGTGTTTGTTTTTGTGACGGAGTGATTCTAACGGCGTTTTATTATGTGCTTGCAGGCGTTCGGATTGGGCAGCGAAGGGGTTGTGGGCCCTAGATCGGGGGAGGAAGTGAAGGTGTTGAAGGAGAGAGGGGTGGAGTCGTTACCGTTTGGCGGGAAGCGGTTATTGACGGAGACAAACGGAGATAGAATCGAGGGTTTCGTGCAACGCCTCGTGGCTTGTGGAAGAAGCAGTCTGCCACCTAGTCCCCGCAAGGATTCTTCCGTTAGCCCTCTCTCTAACGGCAGTTAGTTAGCGTTGGTCTTTCTTTTTGTAGTTTTTTTTGGAAGTTGTAATTTTGTAAACCAAACTCAGGTTTTCACCGTAGCAAAGCTAGCAGCAGCTAAATAATAACCCCACCTGTTCAGTTCCCTTTCGGACACGCAAACCTTGTGCATCTTTAATTATTCAACTAAACGGCGCAATTATGAATTTATTTTTCTTGAAGGACCACCGGAATATTGTGTCTGCTCTCTTGTACCGAAATTTAAATATTTTAAACTGAAGAAAAGGGATACCTAACTCCTAATGTCTGATGCTATTAATTTTCTGTTTTTTTTTCTTCAAAATATCACGAAGTGTCCTCACACTCAAATGGTGAGATTAATTTCTACTCGGAGTTTGGTTTGTTTCTGGCCACAAAGTGCTTCTAAAGTGTTTCGAACTCCTGCCATTGAGGCACTAGGTAACTCGCTAGCTGAAGATGACAGTTTACCAATTACACCACACATTGTTATTTTTGTTTTAGTAAATTAATTTGGTGCCATTTTTATGTTATCCATTTTCTTAAACTTCTCAAACTATATATTTGAGGCGTTATTGTTTATTATTACCACACACCTCTGTGTGGCCTTTCTGTACTTCAGCTTTATGCCTTTTCCCCAAATTATTCGACTGTCAGGCTAGACCTCTATTATGTAGTTTTCTTTTTTCAAAGCTAAATACAAATATAAATGATCACAAGAATCTGCCAAGGGATATATAATGTTGAACAAAAATCTTGCATGGTTGTGTACCCGGAACACTAAAAAATTACTCCAAATGACGACCTATATTGACCATATTTCAAGGACCATCAACGAAGGAGGTAATAAGAAGCATGTTCGCCTTCCTATTACATCTTCTTTTAAATATGCAAGTAGATTAATGTTAGACAAGGCCGGTTCTGAGTTTTCAAAGGTCCATGGCGAAAATCTAAAGTGTGCTCTACACACATTAATCACTAATACTAGTATACTTCTTGTTTTATCAACTAAGCATTGGGTTTTTTGAGAAAGTATTTATGCGAAAATATTTTTAAACTTTGAGCAATGTCTTCAATATTCCTAAATAATGAAAACAAATGTCCAACTATAGGTACTATACTAGTGAGTCAAAGAATTTCAAGAATGCAAGTCAAACCAATATCAAAGAATTTCTTTTAAAACTCTCGTCATGGATCATTTGTGCCAAAATTTCAGATTCATCTCGATATCCTATTCCTGAAAATTATGGAAAAATATGAAATCAATTTATAATAATATATTATAACACTTATTATAATATAAAAATTTGGGGCCCCCTTAAATAATGGGCCTAGGGCAGTCGCACTGACTGCCCTTGAGTAGGGCCGAGACTGATGTTAGAGTCAGTCATGCGTGCCAATCATGACCGTTCATGTATGTGAAACTCACAGTGCATCAACAAGCGTCTTGATTTATGCATGAATTATGGTACTTAGTTGTACTTTGGAAAGAGCCAACTATAGAGAGTAACCAAGGCAAATCCCTTTTGCATAATTTCGGCTACCAACAGAAACATGCAGTGATGTAGGAGGCAAAGAAAAAGGAATCAAATCCAGTTAGTAGGTGAGAAAAAAGATGTACACTCTGTAACAAACACACCTTTCCTACTTCATCTTGTAAAATTTTAATGCTCACCCAAAAAAAGTAACAAAACAACCGACTTCCGATCACTTTCATTAATTTTGATATTTTGGCTCTCAATTTTACCCCATCCTAGTCTGAATTATCTTCCCCTATTCCTTTTGGTAGGGAAATTAATTTGGTGTCATTTTCTTCTCTGTTTTCCTGTGTGGCTCTTTGCTCACTCACAGAGTAGCTGCTGCATTATTATTATAGTTGGAATATAGTTCCCAGTTTCTTACTGGGTTTTAATATGACAATAATGTCAATAAATAAGACAAGATTTACTGCTTAAAAAAGGAGTGCGATTGTGACTGCAGAGTAGGGTTTCAAGCCAAGCTGTGTTGATGTGGACTCGGTGGACATCATCACATTGATAGAAGAAGAAAACCAGAATCCTATGGGTTTTCAGTCCAGTGTGCTTTCCAATTCCAGCGGCTTTCACAGCAACACGGTTTACAGGAATGTGAGGTTGGCCGTTGAGGGAGGGAGGAAGGGGGGGACCTCAGCTAATTTTACACTGGATTTGTATGGCTAAATAACACCAACAACCACATTATTATTATTATTATTATTTTCTTTCATGCATTTATTCTTTATATAAGAATTTGCACGTTTCCGGTATGTCTCTTTCTCGAGAAAAACTTCTCTATTCTCGTTTCATGTTTATCTGTATCCGGAAATGGAGAAGTTTCTTTCATTACTTAGCTCAAACTCTTACCATTGTACAATTTGTACAACTTTGCAACTTATGTAAATTGAGCTGTCATGGCCAAATACTTGGATTTTAGTAATATATTGGATATTATTTTCATATTATTGTTTTCTGCTGATTTGTGTCACATGAGACGGGCTGATTTTGCTCTGCTAATTATTACATATAATATATATTCTGAATCTGAAATGTGAAAGATAGTGAGAGAGCAATACAATTCATATAATACTAATTTTTTATTTCGCTGGCGGCTTGAAATTGGCTAATGTGGGCGGCTCTGAAACAACCTGAAGCCGACAAGTTTGGGAAGTGAGTCCAATCTCAGGGGCCTTTTGGGCCACCACAATTAAATAAAAAAGTCCCTCTTGTTTAACTCATTGCTTAAGCTTATTTTGTTTCATGTGTACCAAACAAGTTGAAGAATCTACAGGACGTGGCTCAATGCTCTTTCTTTCCTGGTACGATATACATAAAGAACCAAATTGAAAAAGCAAGTAGATTCATTAACAATATTTATAATCTTAATCCCCTTGCAAGTTGCAACTCACATGGTTGTAGGGTGACCCATATAATTAATTAATCATCCTCTTAATCATGGAACCAAGATTAATATATCTAGCAGATAAATATAAAAGGGATATTACTTGTCTCATTACTGGTAAAGAGATACTTTTCCTTCTTACGAATCACAGTTTGACATATATGCAAAAATAATTCATCAAAAAAGAGAAACTTCAACGCCCATAGCACACTGCTATGGGGAAGATTATAAGAACTCATACTTACCTAATAAAGAGGGAAGTATTTTCCATACTTCTGCCACTCTGGGTTTTTAAAGATAGATTCTGCTTTTTTTCTTTCACTTTTGATAGTGGTCAATTAGAAATCATAAATTGTGTTGTAGGATCTACTTTTTACTGATATGAGTTACTGGTTTCATATCAATGCTTTTTTTTAATCTAATTGAGAGTGCTTTGTTTTCCTCTTTTGGTAAAGCAGATTCTAAGCTTTACATATTTAATATATGTTTCCTTTGTCCCTTCATATAATTTGAGTGGGGAAAGTGGGTGGTTGTTGTTGGCTATCTATAAATTCATAACCTATTTCCCTTCATATAATTTCATATAAAGAAATTAGTGAGTCTGTGTTGGTTTGGCCACATAAATACACTTACTCAAAAAGCATTGGAATAATAAAGAGAGTGAACTTAACTGCTCAAGTTTGGTCTGGTGGGCAATCTTATTCAATACAATGATCATGTAATGTTAGTGAATAACCCACTTGATTAAGACCTAAGCTACTCATAAAGAGGGAAAGATTTTTACTTTTTAGTGAATAACCAATTTGATTAAGACCCAAGTTATACTTTTAAGAATCATATCCATTTCCATCATAACAAGCATTGAGAGAGACCCCCTCCTTTACTCAAAGGACTTGTAGTTAAGTTGTTAACATTAGTTACCTCTGCAGGCGAAGTTATTTATGTTTGAATCTCTTTCGCCAATATCGTTTGTGTCGAAATATTAACCCATTAAGAAAGATCATTAGATATTAGTGATTATTATTACCTTTCTGTCAAAGTACCAGATGATATGTGTTTATGCATGAGGAATTGAAGGTGAGGCTCAGGGCTCCACCTACACCATTAACATCTCTGTAGAGCTTTTCCTGCGACTGTCTGATCAATTTTAACTAGCCTGTGCAGAATGACACCTAAATAAATAAGAATAATCCCTTTCTTCTGACTTTCTCCTTTAAATTTTTGAGCAACCATTGCCATTAAATTTTAAAAAAAAACTGGGAAAAAATATCTCATAAATTAAATGTAATAAATATTTGTTTTGTTAGAGAGCGACTCAAGATAAATCTTCCCATACCATTACTGCAACTATCCATTTTGATTGCTTCAATGAGCTAATTTCAATTTCATAATTATTCAGAGGGGCCAGATATAATGTAAATTGTCTTCTTCTTGTTCTTGTTGTTAATTATTATTGCTCTTGTTGTTTCTTGTGAAAAAGTACATGAAAACGCGTATGCTCTTGGCCTTGGGTGGTAAAAACCCTGTTCAAAACGGAAGGACATTAGATTAGTTCAACGAAATCAATTCAGTCATGAACCAACCCAGAATTTACCAACCCAGATTCATCGCAGCTGGGCCCTGCTTGGTTTAATTCATTTACCTCTATAATAACACGTTTATGCAAACTTTATTGGTGCAATTCAATTCATGCCCATACGCTGGTGTCGCTCTCGGTTTGTTAGGCATTTCCTGTGGCGCCTCACTTAAATATTATTGGAATTGGGTGGTTGTTTCTTGCATGTTGATATTTTGAGATCCCATATGCATTGAATATTATCTGTATCATCGTGAATTTTCTTGATGCTTTCTCGTTCTTAGTATTCAAGAAAAACTTGAGTGGGATGGGAGTGCATGGATGCAAAAAATTTGATCGGATGACTATTAAAGACCCTCTTATCCTGGTTACAATTTCGTTTGAAAATATGAGGATAAAGTTTTTAATGAGTGAGTTCTCAACTCAAAATATGTCAAGTCCGTTGCCGACAATCTTTTTTGTGGGTAATTTATAAAAATCGAAAAAGGTCCCGGGATAGGGTTGCCTCTCCTCTAC